AGAAGAGAAGAGAAGAGAAGACCAGAGGAGAGGAGAGGAGAGGAGAGGAGAGGAGAGGAGAGGATAGGAGAGGAGAGGAGAGGAGAGAGGGGAGAGGAGAGAGAGGAGAGGAGAGGAGAGGAGAGAGGATAGGAGAGGAGAGGAGAGGAGAGGAGAGGAGAGAGAGGAGAGGAGAGAGAGGAGAGGAGAGAAAGGAGAGGGGAGAGGAGAGCACTTGGCGTTTGTCACTTGTCCAGTGCTAGAAGCAGAAGAAAATCATATTCATTGGGAAATTAAAGTGCAATGCTTGTGCACTACTCCGAGAAATTGGTTCAGAACTTGTGAATTTCCTATTTTGTGCACTTTTGAGGCCACCGGCGTTGATCCTGCCGGGAGTCTGCTTATCTCAAAGAATCATGAACTAAGCCCTGCATGTCTCAGCAGTTAATTTGCCTGAGAACAAGCGACGTCACCCGGCGTCACTTGAAAACTCGACCTAAGTTTCTGAATCTAGGGTGGTCCTTTTTGGTCATTTTGTAAGCACTTGCAAGCCAGGCCTGGCTTTTTTTCATGTCACGCTGGTTTGCAAGACGCCGGGCTCTCGTGCCTGGGGTGAGCATGAAGCTGTTGCTGGGAAGCGGGCACGGCGCAAGAGTGAAAAGAGATGGGACTGCCAGCCTTGTTTTTGTCTTTGGGCCTTAAGCTCACACTTTTGTTTCGCTTCGGTCGTTCAGTGAGGTCACACCATACCTGACTTGTAATACTTTGGCACGTCCGCTGACCGGGGTACCACATCGCAGCAGTGGGCACTACCGGGCCTCAACCGCAAGTGCCCGGTCTCGCAGTGGGTCTCGGACCGGGCCTCACGCAACACGCAACCACACAGCATAACCACAAACACACAACACACAAGCCACAAACACAACCGCAAACAAACAACCCGCAACCGCAACACGCAACACGCAACACGCAACCACAAACACAACCGCAAACAAACAACCGCAACCGCAGCCGCAAACACACAACACGCAACCACAAACACAACCGCAAACAAACAACCGCAACTGCAGCCGCAAACACACAACACGCAACCACAAACACAACCGCAAACAAGCAACCGCAAACGCATGAGGGGTCAGGAGCAGACAAAGGCAAAGCCTGTTGGCCAGGAAAACAAAGCAAATTGCAAGCAGGTCAGAACACCAGTTTGGACCCCAGCTCCTCAAGATCAACGTCGGATAGGTGCCTAACATCAAGTCAGCAAACGAAAAGTAGGATAGCAAAACCTTCACAACCGACACTTCACACATGGTGGCATCATGCCATCACACTTGAAGCGCCCAAATCAAATCCTCACAACTGATAGGGCGGATAGGGGACGAACCAGTTTAGCGCATGGCATGTTCGCACAGTAAATACTTTTGTCCGCATCTCATATCTTTAGACCTTTGTGAGGGAATCTCCACGAGGAGTATACTGCGTGAATCTGTCATTCAGTTTCCCTGAGGATCGCATCAGCAGCGTTGTTTTTTGAGTACTGGGCCTACAAGGACTACCGCTGCCAAAAGAACACGGGAATCTGGGAGGAAGGTGGATGCGTTTCTCAGGGCGTTTGTCGCCAAGTCAGGACACTCAATTATGTATATATATATATATATATGTTGCATTGTTGCATCCTTAAATCCACTTGTATGAGTGATCTCAGGTTCCCATGTCTCTTTTCATCCTGATCTGAGGATGTTCAAGCCAGAAGTGAACTTGAATAGACTCTTTTATTTCACGGAATGCTGCCCCGGCTGCCCCCCTAGCGCTAGCTGCCTAGGTGTAACTGTTTTCTAGTTGTGCCCGCCCAACAGATGTCTCTTAGTAGCAATTGCCGGGCTGGGAAAGACACGCGGAACCAGCAGAACCCAACCAGTAATTCATCTTGGGAGCCACGCCTCCATCCTCCCAGCTCCGCCCTTCAGTACCAGCTGCTGCGCCAGTCCAAGCGACCCTATCGCCAAAGCGTGGACGTGGCCCATGCGGCGCTCCGGCCGCTCGGTGACGAGACGGTGGCCGTTTGGATGTGGACGGCATAAATCGATGGTGTGGAGCAACCACTGTCCTTGTGACTCCCAACATATATAGATTGAAACACATAAACTAAAATAAAAAAACACGTATTTAAAACAAAGCAACTATATTATATATAGATATAGATATTTAATATTTATAGTATGACACCCTGTGTTTGCGTGATGTTACCAAGAAATGCCAGAATCATGACCAAGTTGTCGTGTATGAAAAGGGACACTCTTCAACGCTGGGTTATTTGGCCTTTGCAGTTCATGCATACGTAGTCATAAAAATCCAGGCTACCGCCAGCTTAGCCTTTGGCAGGCTCACCGTTACTTAGGGCCTCAGCAACGTGCACCCCCAACTGTACTCGCAAACCCTTCACGGAACTGTACTCAAGAACAACACTATCACATGCTCGATCATGGTTGGGCAAACTAAGGGTAACCTCCGCGACATATGTGGTAGCACAATGCAGCTTCTAAGATGCCTTGAGTGGATACACACAATTTCCCTTGACCATGGGGTCTGTGTCACAGTCTGTTTGGGAGGTCATCCGGTCACCCACGGTGGAAACCTTCCACACCCGAGCAGTGCCGAGGATCGTATACATCGGCCTTGCGGGCTATGCGCTGACACAGGCACTGACCCAGATTGCTCGTGGTGTAGCCTGTCCATTTGTCCACGTCAAAAAGAGGAAACGCATAAAAGTGAAGGTTTGGGTCAGTTTCAGGTCACTCAAGCCTAGCAGCAGTTCACTTTGGAGTAGAGTCAGTTGGGAAAAAATTGATGGTGAATGTAGGTGGAATGATTGAATTCAAGAGTTGCAGGCTGGACTTGGACAAGTCGGATAATGATTCCCACTAGATGACCTCCATCAAACTCTAGTCTGTCCCCATTATCTACCTTGCTTTTTGTCGATCCAGCCCAGCGCCAAGTTGAGGCAGAGTAGGGCGAGCATCAGTGCAGAACCGTTCCAGAAGTGCGGGAAACAACTCAAGCAACAACAACAGAACCTCAATCCCATGTGTGAGATGTCTTATCTCAAGCGAGTACCTCGCACCTACTGCCGATGCTGCTGAAAGCGTTCCGGTCGCTTTCCAAAGACCGGCCGTTCCAGGCGATCTTCCTCACTCCGTCCTTGTCCGAAGTGCCTTGCCGCAAGTCCGAAGAACCCTTTGTGAAGAGCAAGACGGTCACGGTTCACGCTGGCGCGGCGCACTCAAGTGGGGTTTGCGAGGAGTTTTCTAGTCAAAGTACGCCACCGATCATTTTCGTGGAAGGTGGGGGGCGGAGGTGGGGCAATGTTGCATTTGGCAATGCCAAGGATCAAGGCACCTGGTCATCAACCCTAACGCTGCCATTGCTGGTGATGCCTTTGGTCTTGCTCTGCTTGTCCATTCGCTTGCAGAGGTGCCCTGTATAGAGTCTGGAGACTAGATTACTGTTGGGTGGATGGAAGTGGCAAGGGTATGTAAGGCCCTCAGAGAAGAGGGAGGTTTTGTGCCAGTAGAACAAGCACATAATTAGATATTGATCGAGGATTGTGCCATTCCAAATGAAAAGATCGACAAGAAAGACACATTCGTAATTACAGTCAATGGATTGATGAACATAGCACCATATGAAGAAGACACAATATGTGCTTTATGATTCTATCCAAATTTTAAGTCTGGGTTTTTCATCGCATCCAAAGCTGGTTAGAAGTGTGTGGAAGTGAATGGAGTTCAGCTCTTGCCACAACCGCCGTGGTGCTTTGGGCTTCCTTGGCTGGCTCGTTTGTGCACTTGGCGCCAGGCTCGTTTGTGGTGGCTGCGTTTTTGAAGAGAAGGGGCGGACTTCAACCTCTGCAACTCGAAGCAAAGGCAGAGATCAGCTGTGTATTCTAATTACTCTACCTTTGTTTTATTTGCTTAAATTTCATTGGTGACTTGAGGAACCCCCATTCTCATTTCCCTGCTCAGTCGTTGATCTACACCCCCAGACTGAGAATTTAAGGATCTCCAAGTAGCAAACGCGGACGGAGTCTTGTGACTTCACTGTTTGATTGGCTGAACGACATAAAAAGGAAAGGAATTAAACGTCCTCATGCAAACAGAACTGTAGTGAGCGGATTATAAGATTACATATAATTCTATATCCTCCTTTCACATCGCATGCCAGGGGCCCACAGTATTCTTGCCATGTCAAGTACCCCCTGGGGTCCAATGTCAAATACAGCAGGAATTCCTGCCATGTCCCTTCCCTTTCATCCGTTGCTACACGGCATTGCATCTCGCATCTCGCTGGGGTGACTGACAGACGGGGATTGACATGGGAGAGCACAAAAACACCACCAGCAGGGTTTTGAACCAGTCCAATCCCATGTCTGTTTTGAAGGAAGGTTTATTAGAGAATCATCATTACCAAGGTGACCCACTGACCACAGCGATCGAATACCTTGCATCAAGTGGTTCGCCATTTGGGCTTGCCTCAAGATCAGGGTCTCTGGGCACCTTACGCTCAAGCAACACCCATTGGTTATGGGTGTTGCACAAACCGCCTCATTGTAAAGCAAACATGTCTTGCTTGTCACGCCTGAACAAGAAGCCGCCATCCATCATCTCCCAGGTAGATTACTACAGCGCCCAACGGACCTGGGCGAAGCACCAGAAGTACCACACCACAAACTTGCCCCTTGGCGAAGGGACAAAAATGCGCATTGCCTTGAACAGTGCGGTGGCGTCGCTCTGGCCGTCGATGTCTTATTAAGTCCTAGGGCCACGTGGAAGAATCCTATCAGAGTTTTCACTGGAACAGCAAAAAGCACAATGAAAAAGACACTCCTGTGTGTATTTTTTGGTTTTCTTTTTTCCATGTCTACTTGCCTTGCTTCAAGTGGATGCTCAATAGTTTTTCGGGTATGAGCTCTGTTGCTTGTAATACTTATTTCAGGGTGAGAGACGAGCCTTGAAGTTGCAGGAGTGGAGTGCTTCTAATTCATCGATTGGATCTTTGGCCAAAACGCTCTTTGGGTAACCAGTAACCAGTCTCTTGTTGAGTTGTTTTGAGGCGACTGGTTTCAGGCATGACCGAAATCCCATGGCACGAAGCAACACTAACAGTTAACAGAAGAACTGTAATTTGTCGCAACCTCTCCTTATATATATATATATACATTGTATATATATATGTACATATAATATAGAACATCTTTGAGTCAATTAACAGTGTGATGGATTTGCTTCTAGGTTTGGCGTGGGTGAGTTTGAGTTTGACTCACAAAAATCTCAAACAGCACAGTCTGTGGATGAAGTATCACTTGTTTGTTGAAGTTTCAGGTTTACCGCCCCACTTCCAATGATCCAAAAACTGTCATCCCCCTGTGTGGCTGAGGGTCTACTTGCCGCTTGGCTGTTCAAGTCCGTGGTGATCGTGTGGGTCCACATCTTCTTCACGACACGGACAGGTGCAGGGGTGCAGGTGCTCCTCTGCAGACTGTTTCAAGAAAGCCAGCCATCCAACAATGAGAAAAACATTGGACAAAGCAGCTCAGTCTTTGACAATTCACTCTGCTCATGACTGATGCTTTGGACCCCCCAGACGGCTTTGGACGGCGGTTTCGAGATTTGGGGAACTGCGACTCTAGACTGTTGACATCGCTCCCAACGAGCACCTCCACTGTTTAGGACGTCTCTATGTGTACATCGGTAAGCCATGCTGTCAAACTCATCGTGCTTAAGTGTCCTCTCGTCATTTTCATGTTTAAAACTGGGAACTCACATACAACAAGCCAAGAAAGCATCATTAAGAAAATCGTCCCATCATCCATTTTGCCAGCGACATCCTAACAACAGACGTCCTTCACAGAACAGACTTGAGGCTCTTGGGATCAACTCACCTCAAGGGCTTGGGAATCCACGCGAATCGCTGTCCTGTTTGGACTGTGACATGATGCAAGCTTTGGGTGTTGCCCCTAAGTTGAAGCCACTATATAAGTCTACTTTGGAACTAGACACTTAATAGTAAGTGTACTATACAAATGTGTGTATATCAGTGTAGGTATTGAATGGCTAAACGGTTTAGTGTTTTATCGAATCCACGTGCTGAGATGAGTTTGGTGAGGAGCAATCCCCCAATTGAAGCGACTTCCCGCAGTGCGACGTTTGAACGTATGAAAGCTTCTTCGGTCGAGGCGTGGCTTCGAGATGATCGACGCAGCGGGTAAGAAGCTGAAGTGACATGGTGGAGAAGAGGTTGGGAAGACAGGGTGTGTGGGTGGATGGTGTTAAGATGGTGTTAAGAGTGGTGATGGAGGTGGAAGCATTAGTGATAGTGAGGGGTGGTTGGTCGTCAATCTCTCATTGGACATGACTCTCTCACTACTTGACAATAATTTTTTCAAGGAATAGCTTACACCAATCAGATGGCTGTGAGTTTGCTGTCCACCAAACGAGTCGACAAGTCTCACTCTTCGTCTCACTCTGAAACACTTCACCCGAGTGAGAAGGGTGTGTAATAAATAGGGAGACCTTCCAAAGACCCTCTGGAAGAATGACCATAGACTAAAACCCATTGGTTGTTCTGACCTCCTCACGTTTACACTGGGGGAGTGCAGTAAGCCCAATTTCAGATTTCGAACAACCATCCATCCATACAAAGGACGTCGAGCGGAGGGGGGCATGATTCAAGAAAGGGCGACTTGAACGTAAGGTGTTCGGAGAAGACCTGGTTTCGACACCATATAGTTACTTTTGGCTGATCCTTCCTGTTCACGTCTGTGCTTGAACAACCTTCCCGCTTGTGTCGAACGCGCTGCATCCGTCCCAGAGACGAAGAAATCACCGTCCGAGGTACGACCCACGGACTGGGAACCTCCCAGACCCCGCCTCCCTGCGCACACCACCAGCGCCACCGGCGCCGCTTGGTGTCGTGGGGGTAGCAGTCAAAGTCATCCAAAGTATCAGGAGCTGTTGTGCTGAGCCTTGAAAAGATAAATGATCGATAGGAGGGGAGTCAAAACCGCAAGACCGTGGTTGATTTGTTGAACAATGAGCAGAATGGAAGGGTGGGATGTCAACCTCCGAGTTGGTGGTTTTGTGGGCACTTTTTCATTCACTGTATGCCTGATTTTCCACGCAACCACGAAAGACTCAATGCTGGTTGCAGGATTGCAACCCAGGTCAATGACAATCCTTTTGGATGAGCTACGTGGAGAATCACTCCCCTATCATCCAGAGCCCAAACACCCGCAAACTCATCAAAGTCAAATTAAATTGAATTACTGTAATAGCTTCTTGTTACTACTAGTAAGGCACTTGTTACTACTAGCGATGCGCTTGTTCCTAGTAGCTTCAAAGAGTTGATGACGTGTCAGAAGATCGATGATGTCAGGGATCGAATCGCCGATCCATCCGTTCCTGAATCGGACCTAGGCCCAGCGAGGGAAGTCGACTGGGCCACTTGGCCGGCATCGGCCGTGGGGGGTGGCCAATTGGTCCAGGGGAATCGCTCGCGTCAAAATCAGACTTTGATGCCAATTCGCATTTGTAAGAATTCCATTGGACACCCCTTTGTCACATAGCAGCTAGGCCCCATTAGGCATCCAAACCATCTACTTTGGGTCCATTGGACATCCCTTTTTCCATTGGAATTCCATGGAGACTTCCATGGACCGACCACGTCCGGAGCAGCTCGCGCATTGAGCGCATGCTCGCTGCTCGGTTTTTGTGGAGGTATTCATGTGCAGTCCAATGTGCTTGAAGAGCAAGCTACCTGTGCAAACAGGGGAACCGATTTTATCCACAACAACAGCCTCGCAAAAGAGAACTAAAACGTAATTACCTAAGTCAACCAAAAGTCCACCTGGCATTTTTGCAAAGTCCACCTTGCCTTGGTCAAACTTGAAAGTTTCTCCCCTGAACATCGTGCGGATGAGAAGATGATGTCTTGTTCAAGCAGCTACCAGTGCAGCATTGACTGGCCCGCTCAGAGAAGCTGGAGGAAACATTGGATTGGTCCGTTTTGCTTCTTTCGTTTGGGGATCATGGTTCTATCATCAGGGTCCCATCATCTGAACTCCTTCAGATGGACGGAACAACCTTCTCCATGGAAGATCCTGCGGAACTGACAGGTAGCCTCACTGGCAAGGAGGATTTGGAATCAGGTTCGGGCTCCTCAGAACTCAGGGAATTGCCGGTTGGATGATGGTGATGATGATGACGATGATGGCATTATGATGATGATGGTGGTGGTGGTGATGATGACGGTGGTGACAGAGGTGATTTTGTTGTGCTTGACTGGTTCTGCGGCCTTCCCACCTGTCACAATGTTACACTGCTTGGGTGCGTCAGTGCTTTCATGACGTGACTCTAGGGCAAACAGACACGTGGGGGCAGCCGGTCTTCCTGGTTTGGTGGGAACAGCTCGCTTCTCCTGGTTTTGTGGGAGCACTTTGCTTTCCCTTTGGTGAACAGCCGACCGTAGATTCAGCCTCAGGATTTCGTACCGCAGTTTGAGATAGAGTTTGGAAACTGGCCCCATCCATGTTGCGCTTCGGTCGTTTGAGGAGTTCTTCCTTCGAGGCCTAGGAATCCACCGTCTGTAAGTGATGCTGTGGGAGGCTAAAAAAGCCCACCAAGAATCTACTCAATGCCTGCATGCGCAATTTCGATACACATCCACCTGCTCCATCATTTTCCATCCTGTTCCACAGCAAAGACCACTTCTTTTCGGGTCCTGACCACCGTCTCGCTCGGAGAGCCTCGGAGCGGAGCGAAGGGACGATGGTCACGTCGGAGCGAAGGCGCTGGTGGCTCTCGCACAGTGGAGACCGGCCCCGATGGTGAGGACGGAGCGGGGTTTCGGTCGGGTCGCGGCGTTTGGGAGTACGGAAGCATACGGAAGCAGCCAGAAGGAAGTTGGGCAGATTCTTTCCACCTGGTCCTTAACTGGAGTCGGTTTCGGCGTTCCCACAGTTCTGTCCTTTGTGTTCCCCAAACTTATTAAGACGAATAAGACCTGAAGTTGCACACTGCTAGACTCTTGTCCTTCACAAAGCCGAGGTTTTGTGTCTATATGAGGCGCAGCAAGTGAAGGGGAGAAGCCGAAAAGAGCAAACTTTTTGCACCGTTTGGCTGTTTGCATTATTGGTCCAGCAAGCTTTTCTGTGCTGCCAAACGGTTTGCCTTTTTTCGGCTTCGGCTTCGTTTCCCCACTTCTTTCGTGACAGATCTTTTGGATTTGCATCCATTTTCTGGGTCCACCTGCTGAGTTTCGACTCAGGGCCGAAGAACATCAATACAGGGCCCGGTGAATCTCCAAAAGGGTTGAACTGTTTTTCCCCTAAAAACCGCGGCGCAGGTATTCTAAGAGCCGGTGAACTGTCTGTGGGTTCAGTCATGATCACCAACTCTGAGTCGAGACGGAGGGACCACGCCTTTGACACACATGCCAGGAGCTACGTTCGTAGCGAGGCCCTTTGCTCCGTTCGTAGTAAGGCCAGGAGCCCCTATATCGTAGCGAGGCCCTTTGCTCCGTTCGTAGTAAGGCCAGGAGCCCCTATATCGTAGCGAGGCCCTTT